ACCTTTTGAGATATTTAAAATTAAATATACTGTATTTTGGAATTTTCGCGTTTCTAAAGATGGCCATATCTCATGAAGTAAGCCGATTTGAAAAGTAAAATTTTACATTTTTATTAGTTAGTGTATATACTACCAACATACAAATTTTTAAAAAAATCGAAGGGGGTCGGGTTGAGAATCGACTTTTTTTGGTTGATTTAATATGGAATGTAACATATATATTTTTATTTATATGTAAAGCTGAGAATATAACCAAAAATAAAATATTTATAAGAATTAAATAAAAGCTCTGGCCAAATCTCGCATCTGCCACAAAAGGTTTGGTCTTAAAAAAATTGGAGCATAGGATTGAGACAAAATGAAAATAATTTTTTTTTTATATTGCAAAAATAAAATAATATCGAAAAATATGAATATTGGTAATTGAATTAAAATTTATTTCTGATTTAGTTTAACATACTTGCATTTTGGTCCAACATATAAAAATCGTAAATTTTCAAAACAGAAAAAATAGCAGAATTAGAATGAATAACTATTATATTAAATTGCTTAATGATATACAATGATTATAAGAAATTATTAAACGTTTACTTTTAAATCGGTTTTGAACATTTGGAAAGAAACAAATTTGCTGAAATTGTGCATAAGGTAAAATTTTCACCAAGGTTAGCTTAACAATTTTCTCATTAATGGTACATTTGCGCAGTTATTCAAAAATTACACTTAATTTTATTTCTTCTATAATTTCCTTTCTACCGACATCATTAAAAATGCTTCTAAATAATCCTGCCCAATGTTTGACGCAGTCTATTTTTAATTTGCTAAAGGTTTGTTCACTATTTACTCGTGAAAAAGAATACTATATATAAATTAGTATATCTCAAATTATATCAGCATAAAGTCTCATTTACACATATTAAACATTGCTTAATTTTATATTTCATTTGGTTAAAAAATCTCCATTGCAACTTTCTTTCATAGAATCTTAAAACTCTTCACTTTCACTTTCTGACATGTAATTATTATGATATAATTTTCTGTACTCTTCCTCAAACCATATATTCATTCTAGAGAATGAAATTAGTTCTTTTATTAATATTAATAGTGATGAAGAGGAAGAAATAATAATCAATGAAGCATCAACAAGTTCAGACATTGTTTTTCCATGGCCAATTTATAGAGCATATTATAAAATAATATCCCAAAATAAAGAAAAAAAATCTCTGATAGTAAAATGTTTGCTATGTCTACCAAAAAATACTAATATTTCAGTTAGCATTACCTCAACTTTCAACATTGTAAAACATTTAAGGGTATAGATATTAAATAAATATTTATCATAATAATTTTAAGAGAAAACAGCAAACACTGTTAATGAAAATAAAAAAAGGGGGAATGAGACTAAATTTATTAAAGAAAATATTGGACTAGTTTCATCGTCCACTATATTTTTGCCAAGAGATCTCAAACTTTAACCCACACTTTAGTTAATAACTGCTTTTATTATAGCTAGCATTCAGGCATTTTTAATTGTTGCTTGATATTTTGCAGGAAGATAAATATATGTACACAGCTTATTAATGTTCAACCATTTTACAGCTGATTATCAAATTGAAGAATTTTAAACAAATGAACATGAGATCTTGTTTACCACATCAATATTTAATAATTCTAGGTTTATTGGTACAATATTTGAAGATGAAAATATGGTAGCAACTATGCTCCATCCCTTTTTAAAACTTGATTCGACATGGTTGCAATGGATAAAAATTTTAATAAAAATATAATTAATACAAATATTAGTTGATGAATTATCAAGGTATTCAACTGATTGCAGACAAATAACCTGAAAAAAACAAATAATTTAATATCTCATTTTTTCAGTACTCCACAGTAATAGTGTTAATGATTTAAATTTTGATTCTTAAAAAATTTTAAATATTTTTTTCAAAAATGAATGTCGAGATTTTAGTATTTTAAAGAATATTCTGTAACTGAAATCTAATATTTATAATCATTTAATCGTATATTTTCTTATATTATATCTAAAAATCATTTTAGTAATATTTTGATAAATGTGATATTGAGTCAATAAATTTTTTTAACTCATTTCATGAATTTTCACAATAGAATCCAAATTTAAGTTTATGCAAACCTTATATAAGAGTATAATAAAAATTGTATCTGTATTTAGATATATTTTTAAAATCGTATCGGCATCTGGACGATGTTCTGTATCTAGATCAATTTAACAAGTATCTTTTAACAACTCTGCTAAATACCATATTCACTTTATAGGATAGATACTCTGTATTATGAGATTAATCTTATTAGTTGAATATTATAATATTTCGAATATATTGGTGACCATCGTTATAAAATGTAAAATGTCCATAATAATTAGGGTTATGCCGATCTTAAATATCGGATTGGCACTGATATTTAAGTTTTTTTAAAATATCTGATCAAACCGATATTTTTTAAAAAGCGTATCCAATTCGTCGATATTTTTTATTGTTTTAGGTTGCTTTTATATTATTTATAATTTTATTTTATAAATATTTTCATAATTAATAAATTAATGAAAGGAACTAAAATATAATTGATTTGTTGTAATTTTTATTTAATATTATCTGTAACAAGTCTATGAATTAATTATAAGATTCATTTTTTTTATTAATAGGGTTAGTTGTAATAAGTTATGAATTGAGGAGTTTTCATAGTGTTGTTAAACGGTTGGATTGATTAATTAAGTTTTGAAAACGTTTAACCAGTGAAAATAGATATAAATATTGGATCGGGATATTATGGGATTTTTAATATCGAAAAATATATGATCGGATTGGTGAAAATTTGACCCTAATAAAAATTATTCGAAAAAGCATTGTATAATATATTGACTACCATTATATTTATAATTTATATTAATTGTTGCATCAAATATATTGGCAGCAATCTTAAAAATATACAGAAATACTCATTTTAAAATGTGTACCATAAAATGAATACTGTTAAAAATTAACACCCGAGTTATTATAAGCTACCTTTCAAATAGATTTATATACAGGTATATTTACTAAAATAGATATAGATACAGATACATCATCTTAAGATAGAGATAGATAGATACGTCTTTTAAAAATATATCTGTATCTAGATACATTCAATCTTCGGGAATATAGACAATTTTGTGGAATTATAGGCAGTTTTAGGACATTTTGAGGAACTTTGTACAAATATCCCAAATTGACTAAAATAAAAAAAATTTTGACAATTTTTTTATACTAAATTAGATATACTAAATAGAGTAAAAATTAAAAAAGAAGTCTTAAAATAAATTTTTATTTCATACTTATAATTAATGATGAAATATATATATATGAAATTAAATTGGAGAATGAGGAGTTAAATACATGCTCTTCTTATCTGTTGACAATATATTTTCATTTCCCAAAATTTCAGGAATAATAATTTATGTTGTAAATATAAATTGCATTTCAGAATTCAAGCTTGATATCGGAGTTGTTTTAGCTAATCTTGCAGAATTTCGATTAAAGAGTGTTTTTTGGAAAAACATGGAAAATGGAAAGTGCGAAACATGTTCAACCTTTGTGGTGGAAAGGCTTTTGTTTGCCCTAACCTTTTTCTCCTACTTGTATTGTTAAACGGCTCGATTTGAGGCGATTTTTAAAAACGGCTAACTCAATATTTTAGCCAGAAAAATATATACGCCTTCAGATTTCGCTAATACATATCCAAACCTTTATGGAATCTTTCAGCAAAATCTTTAGGTTTGCATAATATTTTTCAGAATAAAATATTAAGTTAACCATTTTAAAAAATTGAATACCATACAAAACTATTACCTCTGATGAATCGTCGGTCTATAATTGGAGTGCTGCACTCGACATTTTCAAAATTTTTGAGTTAGAAGTGGATAATAACTTATATTCCCAATATATATAAAAATAAAAACATGATTAAAAAATATTAATTTTTGCCAAAGTTATTGTCAAAATTGATCAATAACTTTTTTCTATATTTTATTTTAAAATTTAATGTTGATTTTCTCATTTTAAACATTCAAGAAGTGGATAATAACTTATTTATTCCCAATATATATAAAAATAAAAATTAGATTAAAAAATATTAATTTTTGCAAAAGTTATTGTCAAAATTGATCAATAACTTTTTCCTATATTTTATTTAAAACTTTATTGTTGATTTTCTCATTTTAAATTTGCGCAAGTGGAGCACTCCAATTCTAGGCCTACGGAATGTTGCTTTGGAGAGAATTTGGTTTTATTTTGGAAGGGCCCATTTCAAAAATCGTAATAGACTCAGCAATAAACGCGTGGAAAAATTAATTTCCATAAAATGCAATTTATATTTACAACATGAATTATTGATAATACATGTAATTATCCAGGTATTTCAACTCCTGAAATTTTTGAAAATGGAAGCATGAGTTGAACTCGCTATTCTCTGATGAATTAATTTCATATATATATATATATTGTAGTTTAAGTTTTCTTTCTTGGGGTTTACTCGATTTGGTATATCTAATTCATTGGTTCAATCAATTTGTGACATTTTTACAAGGTTGCTCAAAAGTCCCCGATATTTCCAGGGGAGAATTTTATATTGGTGCTAAGAAACTGCTCCAAAATAACGTTTTGTCTGGAGATAGCCTAAAACTCTTCTGGAATTTTTAAGCCCGATCCCGGTATTTTAATAGTATGTTTGGCCCCAGATTATATTATTTTGCAACCCGGCCAAAATTTTTTTATTTTAATAAAGGGAAATTTAAAATATGAGCAGTAAATGTATATTGAACGCTTCATTATGTATTTTCAACTGATTTATTTATATAATTTAAAACTATTTTTAAAATCAGCTCCTTATAAAAAAATATTTTTAGGTCTAGCTTGGGATGACCAGCCACACTTTGGCCTAGACCTACATTCCTACTTATATTTTAATTTTAATTCATAAATAAGGAAAGATATTGGGATGTATCAAAATGGTAAAAAACATGGCGTTGCATTCAATTCTGCACTTTTTGGTTCATTGTGTTTAGCTTCTCGATTACCACAATCACCCTTTCATTCTTTCATAACTACTTCTTTAGCTGCATTGGTATTTGGATTATGGCCTGAAATGAGATTGAAGATAAAATCAAATTATATTTCATGTCAAAAAAATTACAAAAATGAATTTAATTGCCAGTATAATGAACTACATTTTGTTAAAAATAATGTGATTGCTGTCAGCTTTGACACCCATAATTGTTATAATAACTATGATAATGAGAATCATATTGAAAAAATTACTAAAGATTTTACTATTTATATAAGAAAAGTGAATAAGTTGTTAAAAAATACATATATTAATATAATTCTTTATACTGATCAAAGAATATTAACAATATTTTTATCTATTCTATCTTTTATATCATTATGGACTTTAAATCCCAAGCAGAATTTAATAATTTACGATAAAGATAATACAAATAATTTTTATTATTACTTATTTACTTATAAGCTCATTAATAATCACATTGACAATTTTAAACATATAGCCCTGGCTACCATTTTTATAAATATTCTCATTACCTTAATTGTTCCATATATATTTGTTAGAATGCAAATTTACAAAAATAATATTTATGGTCCATGGGATGAAGCTGTTATTAAATAATTATTTTTTGACAAAAATTTTACATTATACATATTAGTTTATTTATTAGTGTGCTAGCTAAGAAAAGAGATAATTAATTTAAATAATAAATAATGAATCATAAGTACATAGTTTATTTAAAAATTTTCATGGATTATATACAAGGCTATACCTTCAGGGTGGAGTTATGGGGGAGCCGATATACCCCCCCCCCCTCTCGCCTCAATTTCGCTTAAAAATAATTTATAGGGAAAAATTCCCTCTGAAAATAATTTCTTCGAAAATATTTTTAATTTACTATTTTTTTGATACTCGAAAAAAAGTTCCCCAAATAAAAATTTTAAACAATTGGAAAAAGAAATCTACAATAATAATTTTAAAAATTCTCAAAAAATAATTCCTCAATTAAAAATTTGTGATTTAAAGAAAATTGTCTAATAACCTTGAAAAAATATGGAAATTGGAATTTGAAAAAAATTTCTCAGAAAAAAAAAGATTTTTTAAGTATTCAGGAAGTTGAGTATAGGAACGTAAATTGTATATTTTCTAAATACATTTTATAAAAAGTATCCATATCTAGTTACATTCTTAATTGTATCTCTATTAGAGGTCTGCATCCAATTTAAAAAAAAAATTTAACCCGCTCGCCCAGCCCGCCCATATTTTTCAAAAAAATTTATACCCGCCCCGCCCATTTGTCTAAAATTCCTTACCCGCCCGCCCATTAGTTTAAAATTTTTTACCTGCCCTCCCATTATTTATAAAAAATTTTTAACCCAAGCCCGCTTAATGGTCATTCTTTCATTTTTTTAAGCATCTAATAAAAATATTTAATTACTCCTTTACAAAAAGTTTATAATTTAGGAAATTAATATAAGTATAAAAATAATCAATGTAAATTATGGACAATTTATTTGATCAAATTGAATATATATGAAAAAAATATTAATGTAAAATTAATATTATATGTAATTATAATGCAAAAATAATAATGAATCTACATTTTCTGGACTCAAACACGTTCTTCATTGTTCTAAAAATCTTCCAGCAATGCTAAATCAGCGTTCGGAAGAAGCACTAGTTGCAGGAATTGCTAATATTTTTCTTGCTAATCTTGATAGCTTTGACAAATTTCTTGTCGTTTCCACCAAAGTAGGATATCCGTTTGAAGTATATCCTCTTCCTCAATTGAGATCTTTAAATAAAAGTAAAACCAATTATAATAAATTTAATAAAGTAATTTAAATTAAGTGTAATATACAACTTAAAATTTTGCTAAATTGTACATATCAAAACTGGTTACTTTAAGATTTAAATATTTTGTTATGTCATTAGGTACAATACTCTCCTCTGTAACAACCTAATCCTCCCATATGTTGGGGTTTAATTTTGAAGCGGATGCTATTTATTTCAAACATTGCATTTAATAGAGCTAAGCAATTTTTAATTTATTAATACCCTTTAATTTGATTCTCTTTGTATTTGGGGAAAGGGGTAAAATAAGATTTTCATCCACGTCGATGTTATATTCTTCGATGCAAATCAAATCCAATATGTTTTTTTACTTCATTAATTTCTTCCGACGTCAACATTCTCATTTGTCGAACTTTGGTATTAAAAATTTTGAAATTTTATGAAACATGGATTTCAAATTTTTTAATTATAATATTTTTAGCTCATTAATTTATTAAATTTATTTCTTTTTCACAATTTGTTTTTCCCATTATATCCATATTTATTTGTGCTCATGTAGAAGTTTATACCTATTTTTTTATAAATAATGAAATGATATGCATAAATCCCAAAATACTAATTTTTATACCATATAAGAACGTTCTTTAGTGTAGGCCTGCAGTCGCTCTCAAGAACATTAGTTGCATCTTTATATGGCTCCAAATAATCTATCAGTGCTTTTAAACCTTCCTTTCCCATAGATCCCATTCTTTCACTCATATCACGAGATTGTAAGAACGATAAAATCTCATACATTATATAAACGCTTTGTAGCATCTTATGTTTTGTATTCCATCTTATATTAATATTTTGTTGTAACGTCTTGCTCAGATATTTTATGTTTGTTTGAAATAAGTGGTCAACGATTTTGCAATGATCAAAATGTTATTAATCTCAGGAGTATTTTCCAAAATAAAATTTGGCTGGAAAGCATTGCGGAGAATTGTGTTCAACATATGTGCTGAACAGTAGTGTTGTTAAAGCCGCGAGTCGCGACCCCGACCCAAAGCTCGGGTCTTTTTTTACGACTCCGACTTAAAATTTGGGTTGTATTTTTCGACTCAAACTTGAAGTTTGGGTCGTATTTTTCGACTCAAACTTGAAGTTTAGATCGTATTTTTCAACTCCAACTCAAAGTTTGGGTCGTTTTTCTGACTCAGACTCAAACATCGGGTCGTTTCATTCAATCCGACCCAAAATATGGATCTTTTTTTTTAAAGACGACTTAAAGTTAGGGTTGCTTTTTTTCACCCCTAACCCAATATCTAGATCATTTTTTTCGACCAAAAGTCAAATAACATTTAGTATATTATTAATATTATAGGCGGGAAAGTTACTTAAAGCTTCTTTAAATTATAATGCTCTGATTAACTATTCATCATAGTTATATTTTAAAATTTTTAAGTGAAGATGTACCATAGAAAAGTGCCATTTGTCATGATGGTTATTTTTGAACTTTTTTAAATGAAATAGATAAAAATATATATTGTAGACATGTTAAATCAAAATTTCAGTGATGATGTACCATAGATAAGTGGTAATTGTCATAATCGCTATTTTTGAACTTTTTTAAGTTTTTTTAAAGCAAATTGCTAAAAATATATATTCTAAACATGTTAAATTAAAAATTCAGTGAGGATGTATCATAGATAGGTGACAATTGTCATAATCGCTATTTTTGAACTTTTTCAATTTTTTTTAAAGGAAATAGCTAAAAATATATATTCTAAACATGTTAAATTAAAAATTCGTGAGGATGTATCATAGATAGGTGACAATTGTCATAATCGCTATTTTTGAACTTTTTCAAATTTTTTTAAAGGAAATATCTAAAAATATATATTCTAAACATGTTAAATTAAAAATTCAGTGAGGATGTATCATAGATAGGTGACAATTGTCATAATCACTATTTTTGAACTTTTTCAAATTTTTTTAAAGGAAATATCTAAAAATATATATTCTAAACATGTTAAATTAAAAATTCAGTGAGGATGTATCATAGATAGGTGACAATTGTCATAATCGCTATTTTTGAACTTTTTCAAATTTTTTTAAAGGAAATATCTAAAAATATATATTCTAAACATGTTAAATTAAAAATTCAGTGAGGATGTATCATAGATAGGTGACAATTGTCATAATCGCTATTTTTGAACTTTTTCAAATTTTTTTTAAAGGAAATATCTAAAAATATATATTCTAAACATGTTAAATTAAAAATTCAGTGAGGATGTATCATAGATAGGTGACAATTGTCATAATCCCTATTTTTGAACTTTTTCAAATTTTTTTAATGGAAATAGCTAAAAATATATATTCTAAACATGTTATATTAAAAATTCAGTGAGGATGTATCATAGATAGGTGACAATTGTCATAATCGCTATTTTTGAACTATTTTCTTAGACCAAAAGTCAAATAACATTTAGTATATCTTAATATTATAGGCGGGAAAGTAACTTAAAGCTTCTTTAAATTATAATGCTCTGATTAACTATTCATCATAGTTATATTTTTAAATTTTTAAATGAAGATGTACCATAGAAAAGTGCCACTTGTCATGATGGTTATTTTTGAACTTTTTTAAATGAAATAGATAAAAATATATATTGTAGACATGTTAAATCAAAATTTCAGTGATGATGTACCATAGATCACTGAATTTTTAATTTAACATGTTTAGAATATATATTTTTAAATATTTCCTTTAAAAAAATTTGAAAAAGTTCAAAAATAGCGATTATGACAATTGTCACCTATCTATGATACATCCTCACTGAATTTAACATGTTTAGAATATATATTTTTAGATATTTCTTTTAAAAAAATTTGAAAAAGTTCAAAAATAGCGATTATGACAATTGTCACCTATATATGATACATCCTCACTGAATTTTTAATTTAACATGTTTAGAATATATATTTTTAGTTATTTGCTTTAAAAAAATTCAAAAAGTTCAAAAATAACGATTATGACAATTGTCACCTATCTATGATACATCCTCACTGAATTTTTAATTTAACATGTTTAGAATATATATTTTTAGCTATTTCCTTTAAATAAATTTGAAAAAGTTCAAAAATAGCGATTATGACAATTGTCACCTATCTATGATACATCCTCACTGAATTTTTAATTTAACATGTTTAGAATATTCATTTTTAGCAATTTGCTTTAAAAAAAGTTAAAAAATAGCGATTACCACAATTGTCACCTATCTATGATACATCCTCACTGAATTTTTAATTTAACATGTTTAGAATATATATTTTTAGCTATTTCCTTTAAAAAAATCTGAAAAAGTTCAAAAATAGCGATTATGACAATTGTCACCTATCTATGTGTTGCATTATTCTAATTACAATATAAATTTTATTTTTTGTTATAATCTAATTTTATTTTATAAACGGCGTAACCTTACTTTTTTTATATTATTTTATTTTTTTGTATTTCGTTTTATATTCTAATTTATATTTTAGAAAATGTATATATACCTTTAGAAAAGAAAAAGAAATTAGTTAATAAAATATATTTTTACTGACTCGCACCTCGCACCATATCGTCACCATCCTTATTCTTTTCACTATGATACATCCCCAATGAATTTTTAATTTAACATGTTTAGAATATATATTTTTAGATATTTCCTTTAAAAAAACTCAAAAAAGTTCAAAAATAGCGATTATGACAATTACCACTTATCTATGGTACATCATCACTGAAATTTTGATTTAACATGTCTACAATATATATTTTTATCTATTTCATTTAAAAAAGTTCAAAAATAACCATCTTGACAAATGGCACTTTTCTATGGTACAT